AAATTGTTTCGACCCTCTGTTATCATTATCCCTCCAACTGAAGTTAGGGTTCTGTCTCCACCCTTCATTGTATGTGTTGGAATACGGATTCCATTTTTGGTTGGTAGGACGTCCCTAAAACATAGCAGAAACTTCTTCGTATCTTGAAGGACATGCATTGCTTATGTGCATAGGAGAACCACAGTAATCACAACTAGGAGCTACCAATGCTTGGGAAGTTCCCATTGCATTACATTGTCTAGGAACCCTTTCACTCTCTAGTTTCTCCAATCTCCTATCAATCTTCTCCATAAACTGCTTAAGTGTATCATTAGAAGAGGATGAGGCAACTTCTCTAACACACTGTCTATCTCTAGTGCCATACTGTTGGTCATTTGTGGCAGTCTTCTCAAAGAGGTCCCAGGCACCTTGCGGAGTAAGATCAAGAATTGAACCATTAGCAGCAGCATTAACAGTCCTCTGATAGTATGGCAAGAGACCCTCATAGAAATACTGAACCAATTGTGACTTAGGCAATTGATGATTTGGACACCGAGACATCATGGTTAAAAACCTAGTCCAATATTCATAGAATGACTCCCCTTCATCTTGTTGTGCTCCGAAGATAGCTTTCTTAAGCTTGGAGGACCGAGATGCAGGAAAGAATTTCTCAAGAAAAGCGTTCTTGAGTTGCTCCCAGGTAAGTGTAGCATAGTGCTGGGGCAAAGTTCTTAGCCATTCCTTGGCTTTTCCTTCCATGGTAAAGTGAAACGTTCTTCTCAAAAGTTCCTCTACATTTGCACCCTGTGGCTTCATAGTGGAGCATACCATCATCATGGTTTCAATGTGTCCATAGGGATCATCACCTGAAAGACCAAAAAATTTAGGCAAAGTATTAATCAAGTTACCTTTGATTTCAAAATTAGCATCAAAATTGTAAAAACCATGAGGATCAAAATTCACAGTAGAGTTATTTATTTCTCTAAGACTCCTCTGGTCTTCACCATTATTCCTAGGCACATGATTTTCCCCATGACCATTATTATCTCCATTACCCCCATTTATGTTTCTATCATTTTCACCATTATTACCAACATTACCAGTACGATCTGCCATGTCTAGATTTTGGTTAGGTGCACTAGGAGTATGGTGTTCTAAGGCAAATTCACTTGTACTGTTTTGACCCTTTTTCTTTTTCTTCTTTAATTGCTTCAAAGTTATTTCAAGCTCAGGATCGTAGGGTAAGGGTTCTTTATCTCTGGGCATGCAACAGAGAAATTAGAGCAACAAAATGCAAAAACAAATGAAGATTCAAGTACAAATGGAGGGATGCAAAATGAAATGCAAGGTATGCCAAAATAAATAAATAAAAAGAATTAAAATAAAATCAGGATTTTTTTTTTGAAATTTTTATTAAAAAAAATTAATGATATGCAAATGCAACCTAAACTAAGGAAAAATAAATAAATTTAAAGAAAATAGAAAGAGAGAAAAAAAAAAACTGACACTTAGTTTACTAAGGAACCAATTACTTGGCTCCCCGGCAACGGCGCCACTTGATTTGAACCTTTTTAGTCGCCTTGGGTTAAATCAAAAATAAAACCAAATTATGCAGTAAAGCACAACTCGGGTCGAGTCTCTTGAGGAGCTTTTTATTAATTCCTTAATTAACTAAGTGACAAAGAATTGAAAGGAGGGGTTGAAAAAGGATTTTTCAACTAATAAAACTAATTAAGAGAGTAAGAAATAAATCTAAACTACTTTTTTTTGGTATTTTTAAGAAAGAATGAAAAATGCAAGTTTGAATTGTAAGAAATCAATAACAAGAATGCTCTTGAGGAATGAATCAATGACTATCCTAGCTTGTTTAATGATATGGGAGTAACTTAAGTGGTTAAGATTGGTTTATATAAGTTATTCCTTTTAAATTAATACTCAACTAGAACATTAATTACTTGTTAAATTCACTTCAAGCATAATTTCTACACAACTCGCATAAAAATCACACTAACAATGAATTAACAAAGGCATAAACATAAATATATGTATAAACCAAGTACTCAAACTTATAAATACCAATCCAAATATCAGCAATTCCAATCCAAACCAAGAATTACAACTAGCAACTCTTAGCTTTAAACCAAATATAACAAACTTCAAACCAGAAATCATCAACAAAATAGTCTAAACTAAGGACTAAAATTAAACTCCCCTTTGTAGCTCCCAAACTCAAGCCATTGAATTCAATCCCGAAGAGCACAATGAATTTAGCCTCTCATAGCTCTGAACCAAGCTACAACTCGTGCCAAAGATAAAGTAGCCATGGAGGATAGATGGAGGGGAAGAAAGATGAATTTGGAAGATTGAAATTGAAGTGTTGCGGCAGTGGAGTATGCGTGTGATGCGAATATGGCTCTGTGGTCTTGCGTGCGGCTGTGAAGGACGTGAAGGGGTGCGCGGTGGCGTGAGGCGTGGTTGCGTGTATGGCCTGCTCTTGCAATGGATTTAATATATAACCTAATATCTTTCCAAAATCCATGCCTTCCCTCTCTTCCGTCCTTTTCTTTCTTTTTTTTTTAATTCTTTTTCTTTTGTTTCAACTTTCCTTCTATGTTTATTTCCTTTTCTGAGACCTGCAAAAGATAAATTGAAATACTATCATAAAGCCCAAAATCAATTATTTAAAAAGAGATAAAATATAATAAGATTTTCTTTTAAATTTCTAATTTTGTGCAATCAGTATTTGATTCAAAATACCCACAATTAATGCAATTTATCCCACTTTAATTGATAAATATCTCCAAAAAGATATCAAATAAGATATTAAAATCAAGATTTATCAATAAGCAACCTTGAACTAAATCATGTAGATCAAAAAGTTAGTTAATATTAGTTAAAAACAATAAATATGTAAAAATTAATTTTTTTTTTCAAAATAATCTTATTTATAGAAGAGAGAGTACAAGAAAGAAAATAAAAAAGTCATTATAATAAAGAGAATTATGAAAGAAAGAGAATGTTAATGGAGAGAGATTATATTAAAATATAATTTTCAGAACATTTATTATCTAGAAAATAAATTTTTTAGAAAACAAAAAAATTAACTATTAAAATAAGTCTTTTAAAAAATAGAAAATTTATTATAAAAATTTTGAAAAACTTGTAAATATTGTTTATATTTAGGACATAATTGCTACTACTCTGACTCTATTAGTTGTTTGGAAACACCTAGAAGGATTTTTGAAAAGTACTTTTTCATAAATCAAAATAAATTTTTTTATATATTTATTTCGTAGACCGTAAAAATATTTTTAAAATTATAATTTGATTACTCTCTGAATATTCTTTTAATAGATGTGAGAGAAGTTATTTTTTGTAATAGTTTTCCTTTTTAACGGGATGTTTGGGATTGAAAAAGCAAGCAAAGCAAAAGAACGAAAAGGCAGATTAGAGGAGAGGAGGTAGGGGCTGAAAACTGAAAAGTGAATAGAGGGGAAAAAGCCCCGAAGGTAAAAAAGAAATGATCGAACAAGATCGAGGGCACGCCTTTTTTTCTGTTTCTGTTCTTCTTCTCCTGGAGGTCGCGCTTGAAGCCGAGAGAGGAGACGAAGCCGACGGACAGGAGAGGGAACGCGAAGCTTTCATTTGATTCTGGGCGTGTTTGGATAAACGGGAGAGAAGTTATTTTTTTTTTTAATATGACTTTTGCATAAGTTAGATTAGATAAAAGTCAGTTACGGTGATGTGATTCATGTTTGTATTAACTTTTGTAGAAAAATCAGTTTGAGAAGCTAAAACTTATTTGGATGAATGATAAAAAAATAAGTTTAGATACAAAATAACTGAAAAAGATATAAATTTTATTAAGTAATATTATAATAGTAAATTCTAAGCAATAAATAAAAAACAAAAAGATATCTTTTTTTACAAAAAAAATATAAACATTAAGTATTTACTTTTGCAATAATTTATGTCCAGTATTTACTAAAAAAAGATTATCCTTTATTTATTGTTCCACTTTTAATGTGAATGTCAAAAAAAAAAAGTTCACGTCTAATATCATCATCTCTTCTCTTTCTTCTTTTTTTTCTCTCCTGCACACGCCAAAGTCCCTCACCCCCAACCAACCGCTCATCACTCCAAAAACCAAAAGAAGTAGCTTCTGCCCAACAGCTCATTAGACCCTATAAGCCCATCACAAAAAGAAGTCAATCCAAACAACTTCAAAATCCCAAAAACAGCTTTTACTGGTGGAGACGTACGTTCAGGCCATGAAACGTGATGCCAAACACAGCCTCTATCGTTGCTCGCCGCTCTCAATCTCATCTCCGCCACAACGCCGCTGACAATCGCCTCTTCTCCAGTCCTCCGTTTTGATTCGATCAAGGTACTTTCTATGCTTGTGTCATCTTTGCTCCAACTATCGTCTTGAGCTTGGATTTCACCAGCTATGGCTTTTTCCTCCCTCACTATTTTTTTTCCTGTTGCTGTATTCTGATGTTTATGTCGGTTTTTATTAGCTTCAAGATGAGAGGGTGATTCTTTGTAAATACTTTCTTTTGGGTATATTTCTTATGTTTGATTATTTAATCAGAGCATTTTATCTTAGATTTTTCAATTGGTTAGACTTGAGATAGATTATGGGTTAGATCTTAGCTTTGTCAGGAATTGGATCTTATGCCACATTTAGTGATATTAGAATTGGGGTAAATTAATGCATTAATTAATTGATTGCGTGTGAATACGACATTATAAGTTAGTTAATTCGCAGGCAGTGGACCTTTTTTCCCCCCCAAGTACAGGCACGAGGCACTAATGTAGACACAGAGCACTCAAACCTTGCTTTTTGTAAACCTTCTGTTAGACCCAACTCTCATTGATTTAGTAGACCCTCATTCTCTAGAATAACAGATGCATGGGATTAATAATAGAGAGTAGTAATTACTTACTCTTTATTAAGGGAAGTAATTGGCTTAAGTAGCCTTATCTGTCTACAAAATCAGCACTAGCATTAACTGGACGATCGGACAAGTCCTTATGAGAATTGAGCAGGTTATTCTCCTCATTTTTCATTATCGGAAGAAGTAGAAATTAAAAGAGATGAGGGTTGAAAAATTAGTTACCTTTTATTCAACCAATCAACACATATAATTAGAAATCTTATAACTTGTAAATATAAAAAATAATAATTCAAACGCTAGCTCTAGTCCCTAAAAATAATTCCTCTCCCCTATGACAACAAACATAATCCATACACGTAGCATCCACTTAAATATCCTATCTTATTAAAATGATGAAGAATACTAAACTGTAAATGGGATCAATACAAATTAAGCAGATATTATTCCATCTCATAATTACGAATATGGAAAATTAATATTTCTCATTGTTTGCGTCGACTTTGCTACAATAAAGGGGAAGAGTGGAGTCTGGTCTGGAGTGCACGCCACGGCCCTTGAGCAGATATTATTCCATCTCTTTATGACAGCTTAACCGAATGGTCAATGCCATTGACTTAACCGGGTCAATGATCGACTTGACCCGCAATGGAGAAGCAATAATTATGGCTAGCTACTTAAGTCAACTAGACCGCAGAATAACTATTCTCCGGTGAAGTTATAAAAATAATGCATGATTCTGAATAAAAAGCAGAAGTCTAAAAGGAAAGCACTCTGCAATGTCTACCAGTTCTCTGGTTTTGCTCTCATTGCTTTCTCATCTTACCATTCTGTGTGCCCAGCTTCCTGTTCCTGACTGGGCATGTACCTATTGTTTCCATGACAGAGGTAACTTTACAAATACAAGTACGTACCAGAGCAACTTTAATATTGTCCTTTCAAATCTCACTTCCAACACAGAAATTGACTATGGCTTCTACAATTTGTCTCATGGCCAGCATCCTGATAGAGTAAGCACAATTGGGCTATGTCGAGGAGATATCACACCAGATGAATGCCATGCTTGCCTCAAGAATGCCTCACTTATTCTCCCTATGTCGTGTCCAAATATGAGGGAGGCTATGGCAGGCTCCGACGAGTGCTTTCTCCGACAATCAAACTGCTCAATATTTAGGGTCATGGAATCTAACGCTTCGTGCATATGGTGGAACAGGTATGATACAGCAGAGCAGGACAAGTACAATGAAGTTAGTGGATTATTGGAAGGACTGAGAAGCAAAGCGAAGAATGGAGATTCACTTCTTAAGTATGCAGAAGCATATCAAACGGCTCCAAACTTGCAAAACATATTTGGTGCGGTTCAGTGCACTCCTGATTTGTCTCAGCAAGATTGCTCCGACTGCTTGAAGACCGCTATCTCTGAACTTCCCAATTGTTGTTTCGCAAAGAGAGGTGGTAGGGTTATCAAACCCAGCTGCAATGTTAGGTATGAGAACTACCGTTTCTTTGGTCCCATGGCTGAGGATTCACCACCGCTGCTGCCGTCTCCTCTTTCCCCTCCAACGACGTCCACCTCAAAAGGTATCCAAGTAAAACAGGTCTAAAAAAAATTTTGGCCGGAAAAATTTACCTTTAAGCTATTACTTTTTAGTAGAAAATTCCAGTAAAAGTCTTACTTAGGTGGTTTTCCCTCTATTTTAGTGTAGGAGTGCCTCAATGAGCGTATATATGTTTGGCTTTTTCGGGGCATAGTAGACAGTCAATCATTACTAGCATTGCCATTGTTTTGCCCACTGCTGCAATCATCCTAGTGCTCATCTGTGTCTTCAGCATTTGTTGGAGAATGAGGAAAGGCAGAGAAGCAGTTCAAAGTAAGTCGAATTAAAGATCTCTTCAGCAGCTCAGGTAATTTGCAATTTCAAAAAGAAAAATATTTTGAAAGCTAATCTGTTTGAAATTATTCGCAGCGGAAGCAGAACTTGATGGTCAAATTGAATTTCTTGAGTCATTACAATTAGATTTTGAAACCATCAGAACTGCAACAGATAAATTTTCTGATGCAAATAAACTAGGACAAGGTGGATTTGGACCAGTTTATAAGGTAGAATAATAACAATGTCAGGATAAATAGATTAATGTCACCACTCTGGAAAATCATTTATACTAAGGTATAGTTTCGAACTTTTGACAATTGCAGGGTAAGCTCCATAATGGAGAAGTTGCTGTCAAAAGGTTATCCAACAATTCTGGACAAGGAGCTATAGAATTTAAGAATGAAGTAAAGTTGGTGGCTAAGCTTCAGCATCGCAATTTGGCCAGACTCATTGGTTTCTGTTTAGAAAGAGGAGAAAGACTTCTCATCTATGAGTTTCTTCCCAATAAAAGTCTTGAATACCTGTTATTTGGCAAGTTACAAGTGCTTTCATATCAAGAAAAAACTTACATGTTCTTTAACTTAATTAATTTATATATTATCTCTCTCTATTTTAAGTTAACTGTAATGATCGATAAAAGATTACATCCATTAATATTAAATTGGTTCTTTTGGTTTCAGGTGTAAAAACCAATACACACACCCTTGTGCGCACACATATATATTTATAATTATCATTTAATATTAATTATTAGGACAAGAGGCGATCAAGATGTGAACATGTAATCACTGATCATTAAGTACAAGATAGCATGTTAGTTTTCATTTCGCAGAAAATTTTTACCACATGCCGATCATATCAATATGAAATTGTAGATCCAAATCATCGTGCTCAGCTAAATTGGGAGACTCATCACAAAATTATTATAGGTGTAGCTCGTGGCCTTCATTACTTTCATGAAGATTCTCAACTACGAATTATTCATCGTGACTTCCAAGTAAGTAATTTTTTTTAGATGCATAATTAAATCCCAAGATATTTGATTTTGGAATGGCAAGATTATTTGTTGTGGATCAATCTCAAAGTAACACTAGTAAAATTGTTGGAACTTGGTAAGTATAATATATATCAACAACATATCAAAATAAAACATAAATTCTAAGGAGCATGCAACAATAATCTTTTCTAATTAAACTATTTCATGTTGACATGTAGTGGATATATGGTTCCAAAGTAGGCAATGTGTGGATAGTTCTCAATGAAATCAGATGTCTTTAGTTTCAGTGTGCTAATCCTAGAGATTATAAGTGGAAATCCACCGAGCTTTGTGAGTCTTTGCCCTTTTTGAAACATACACAAGCTAGCGCATGCACATAAACTCACATCATGAAACAGCAAAATTGTATACTAAGCTACTATTGACGAGGAAATTCTTGTAGGCATGGAAAAACTGGAGAGAAGGGACAACCTCAATCCTGTATTAAACAATAATTCAAACAATGAAATAAAGAGATGCATCCACATTGGGTTACTGTGCGTTCAGGAAAACCTAGCTGATAGGCCAACCATGGCTTCAGTTGCTCTAATGCTTGATAGCCACTCTATAACTCTCTCAGTACCATCAAAACCTCCATTTTTAATGTGTAAGAGAAACTTACCAGAGATGAACTCGAGGGAGAATAGTTCTTCAGGGGTTAGAAGATTAGGTGGAGACACTACAAAAAAACAGCTGATTAGCGATGGAATTTGCGACGGAAAAAAATTCCGTGGCAAATTAGCGACGGAAACAAATTCCGTCGCTAATTTTTGACGAAATTGCAACGGAAATTCCGTCACTAATTTTTTCAACAGATTAGCGAAGGAATTTCTGTCCATCACTAAATTCTATCACTAATCCGTCAGAAAAACCGTCAATAAATATTTAGCAACGGAATCTTTTCCAGTCAGAAAATTCTGTCACTAATTCCGTCACTAATCCGTCAAAAAAAATTAGCGACGGAAATTCCGTCGCAATTCTGTCAAAAATTAGCGACGGAATTTGTTTCCGAAGCAAATTCCGTCACAAATTTTAAGAAAATAAATTACATAGGATATATATACAAGTAGGAGAATACTGTTTATCATAATCTATTTAAATCATTTAATTTTTTATATAGAATAACTTATTAGATTTTATTATAGTAGTTATTTTTTGAATAACAAGATTTTTTGACTAATAGTAAATGATTTTCTTCAAATATATAAAACACATATACATAATATAATATAATGTAATATAATATATATAATTAAATTGTATATCTTATCAATGTTAATTAAAAAGTAAATTTAAAAAATATTTATAAAAAATTATTTATGATTTAAAATTCAAAATTAGTGTCATTAGAAATTAAAATTATATTAAAAATATTTTTAAAAAAATAAAACATTATAAAAAATAGTAAACAAATATTTAAAAATTATTTTTTCATTAAAATAGTTATGATTAAAATTATCATATAGCATATTTTTAGTTTTTAATAATATATATGTATATATAATTGTTTGTGTAAAATAATACAATATATATTTAATTTTACATAATAAATCAATAGGTTCATTGCAGCTGAATTGGTAAAGCCGCATGTGTGCACGGAGGAGGTCCTAGGTTCAAGCCATAGAGAAGTCACTTTGAGGAGGGAATTATGCGGTGGTGACATGTGACGCACACGTGGCAGGCAGAGGTTAGGTGGCAGGCACATGTGGTAGGCAGAGGTGTGACACGTGGCGCACACGTGGCAGGTGGAGGTGAGGTGGCAGTGACATGTGGAAGTGGTCCCCAATGATGATGTGGCAATTAGTAGAGGTGCCACGTGGCATTTTATTTTATTTTTTAAAAAATTGAATTAGTGACGGAAAAATTCAGTAGGTAATTAGCGACGGAAAATCCGTCGCTAATCAATTAGTGATAAAGGAATTAGTGACAGAACAAATTCCGTCGATAATTTCATCGCTAATCTGTTTCTGTCGCTAATTCCGTCACCAAATAAAAAATTCCGTCGCTAAATTCTGTCGCTAAAATCATGTTTTTTTGTAGTGAGAAGGAACAGACTATGTTGAAGCCTCAGCAAATGAAGTCACAATAACTGAGCTTCATCCTCGCTAAATTTTAGCTTGCAAGTGAAATTCCAATATTAGTTTTAATGTGCAGATTACTTTAGTGGAAATGAAAGCTAGCAGTTCACCTAAAGATAAGCAGGCTGTATATTGATGCAGAGATTTTACTTCTCAAAAATAAAATTATTAATTGCGGACTTTTCCCCAATTTTTTCTATCTAACATCTTTTGTAATTGCTTATTTATAAGAAAAAAAAATGAGTGTTTTTAGTGTAAATGAGGCTATGTATGATCCATTCCTCCCACTGTGTGAAAGATAGGTTAGGTTTGTCCAACTTGATTTAATCCGAACTAGTCCAAGTTAAAGCTCACTTAATTTCCAAACTTGCGTGTTGTCAATGAATGAACACATTTTTATATGTTCCTTTTAAAAAGTTTCTCTACATACACTCAATTTTCTTGAACTTGCAGTAGATTTAATTAGACGTGATTTTAACAGTTATATTTCCTGCTTTGTAAGGAACTTCTTAAATAGCTGGATGAAAAATCATTTATGTATTGATAAAAGATTGGGTTTTTGTTTATATCAACTTCTATAAATCATGTTTTTTTTTGTTAATAAAAAAAGTTTATATGAGTTGCGTCTTAGGAGTTTACCAGGGTCAAAGCGTGTTTCTGGCTTTTAAGCTTAGAGAGTACTTATAGAGGTACTTAAAAATTGTTCACTAACAAAATTTTCACACTGGCAGCAGAATTCAAACTTATGATCTTATGGGTGGTGAGTGGATTCCTTACCCAACCAAACCAACTTTTGTTAGTTATAAATCAAGTTTTATTTTATTGATTAAAACTCTTATGCTATAAGCCGTATGAGAATGAGGCTAACTCAGAGGTCAAGGGTGCGTGGGAGATGAAGGATTCAAACCTTTTTAATGTGTTAAAAAAAAAATCATGTTATATCGATGCATTATAAACATAAGCCCAATTTTGGGACTCCCACTGACACAGTGGAGCTTGTATCTAGTCTTCTAAGGACAAATAACAATTAATAAATTGGCGTTTGAACACACTTTTTCTTCCCCAACCAATGTGAACACAGACATAGATGCATAGACCTTAAATTCTTGTGTAGCAGCTCATGCCTTTAGAATAAAAAAGAGACCAAGACTTTAGTCTTTGAAACCAGACGTGAGAAAAACTTCAAAGACTTAATTGCGTTAAAGCTGTGGCCTGTGGCTAGCTGTGGCTGGAGATTCACTTGGCAAGTACGAAGAATGAAACCCAAAGACACAATTCAAAGCAAGTCAAATTAATATAATGCTCTATATATCCAGCAATTCTTGTGATAAACTATTTCAAACGGAAGTTAATTTTTATGACTACGCTTCGGGTTCTATTAATTATAAGGCAGAAAGAAAATCTTTTTTGGTCTTATTTATAAGTTACTTCATTAAATTTTTAACGTAAATATACTATTTCGTCCTTCATTTGTTGTAGTGCAGATAGTTATCTTTTTTGATAGATGCATATATTAAATAGGGGTAAAAATGGGGAAGTTGTTATATTTTAATAAAGAGCCAATGCATTTTAAAGTTTTTTTTTAGTTTGTAAAATATGTTAGAAGTGTCTTGTAAATAGGACTTGAAAAGCACGTACTAAATTTGTTTGAAGATTCCTTTGCAGAAGCTGAATCGATAGTGGAATTAAACCTACTGAGATAACACAATTTGACTTTGACACCATCAAACTAACAACAGATAATTTCTCTGATGCAAATAAACTTGGACAAGATGGATTTGGAGCAGTCTACAAGGTACAAACAATGTGAGTACGAGACAAAGTTCACCACCTTGGACACGCTAAGGTAACTTCCAACTTTGATAAATGCCGGGTGAGCTCTATAATGGAGAAGTTGCAGTTAAAAGGTTATCCAAGAATTCTGGGCAGGGTGATGGAGAGTTTTTTTTACCAGCAGGGTGATGGAGAGTTTAAGAATGAAGTAATGTTGGTTGCTAAACTTGGGCATCGCTAGTTAGACCCCTTGGCTTCTGTTTGGAAAGAGGAGAAAGACCACTCGTGTATGAGTTTCTTCCAAGTGAAAATCTTAGACTGCTTATTATTTGGTAAGTTACACATAGATCTTCCTATTTTTCTTTTGAAAAAGGTTATAAATGCTTTAGCTTTATTAATGTGTATTATATCTCTCACTTAAAATTAATTGAATGAATTATAAAGGATTATATATATTTATCAGTTTTATTAGGTCTTTGGGTTTGAGTTGTCCGCAAACACACACATTTAGGTGTATCTTCATCAAATTTAATTTAAAATAAAAAGACAAGAGGAAATAGAGATACAAATTTGTAATCACTATGTTTATTCAGTACAATTCATTTTACTGCAAAATATTTGCTATATGGAATTCTAAGACGATACATGTGGGGCTGTAGATCCGACAGGTGGTGCTCATTTAAATTGGGAGACACGCGTAGCTCATGGCCTTCTTGATTCTTGATTTCGAATCATTTATCGTGATCTCAAAATAAATAACATTCTTTTAGGTAAAGAGTTAAATGGTAAGATATCAGACTTTTGTATAACAAGACTATTTACTGCATATCAAAATCAAAAGGAGACAAATAGAATTGTTAGAATCTAGTAAATATTATACACGGGGAACCTATTATGAAAATAAAAAAAGATATTATTACTTCCAGTCTTAATTATAAGACTTTGTTTATAGACTACAAATAAAATCTTATAATTAGGAGAGGAGGTAGTATTATAGTATGAATATCAATATATACATATTTTAATTAAACTTGTTCATATTGACATACAAAAGATATATGACTTCAAAATGCGCATTGTATGGATAATTCTAAACCAAATAAGATGTTTCTAGCTTCGGGTGCTAATTTTAGAGAGTGTAAGCGGGAAGCTGATAAAAAAAAAAAAATAGTGTAAGCGGGAAGAAAAACAATAATATATTTAATGAAGATATCCTCGGTCTTCTAGACTCTGCAAGTCTTTGCTCTTTCGAAATTTATGAACATTGCATAGTGCTAACTATGGCCTCAGTTGTAGTAATGCTGAGCAATCACTTTTTCTCTCTCCCATTAGCTTCGGAACCTTCGTATTTGGTGAATACAGCAATTCAACTGAGACGCATTTGAAGGAACATATTACTTCCGGTTCTTAATATAAAATCTTATTTGACTTTTATTTTGATTTTAAATATAAGGCCCCAATCTACTTTGTCTCTCATATTTATATATATTTTTTCAATATAGTCCTTCTGACAATAGTAGTTATAACAAATCACTTGATTAGTAAGGATATTTTAGGAAATACAACATCTATTTATTACAAATAACTAATTTAATTTTTTTTAATCTTTTCAAATTAGTCAACTAACTCTTATAATTAGGACCGGAAATAATAGGCAACAAGATCAAGTGTTGAAGGAGAAAGCACCTCTGTTCAAGAGTCAATATATATGAGGTCTCAATTACTCAGCTTTACCCTCCCTAAATTTAGCCTTGGATGTGACACACATTCAATATACATGAATATTTTTAATCTGCAAATCATCCGGGAACAGAGAAAACATAAAAATAATAATAAAAAAAATGGATTGTAGTTCACCTAGAAATAAAAACGACTGTCTATATATTATTGCCTAAAAGTTTTTGCGCACAGGCTTGAAAAAAGTTTGAACTCTATAAATAATATGTCAAATATAATGTTTCCTTTTTGACAAGGTTTCTGTCAAATTCCCAGAACTAGTAGTACGGCTCCTATTTGTTTTTGGCGGCATTTTTTAGGAGAAATTACTAATAATAGAGATCAAAGAAAAATCTTAATCATTAAAAAGTTCTAATAACCAGAGAAGTAATTAATTAGTAGGCTTGTTAGTGGACCCCACCAGTAAGTATAATGACAACGTACGCGAACGTGATTAACGGCATGCCATTGACGTAACCGGGTCAATGATTGACTTGACCCGTAATAGAGAAGCAAAAAATTTGGCCAGCTTATGTCAACTAGACCGGAGAATAACTATCCTGGGGTGAAATTATAAAAATAATGCGTGATCCTGAGTAAAAAGCACTTTTCAATGGCTGCGATTTCTCTGGTTCTGCTTTTATTCCTTTCTCATCATCTCATCATTCTCACTGCCCAGCTTCCTGAGTTGAGATCTATCTACTGTTTCCATAGCAGAGGTAACTTTACAAATTCGAGTACGTACCAAACCACCCTTAACATCGTCCTTTCAGATCTCACTTCCAACACAGCAATTGACTATGGCTTCTACAATTTGTCTCATGGCCAGTATCCTTATAGAGTAAGCGCAATTGGGTTATGTCGAGGGGATATTAAACCAAATGAATGCCGTTCTTGTCTCAAGAATGCCTCAGTTCTTGTCCCTATGTTGTGTCCGAATATGAAGGAGGCTATGGGAGGCTACGACGAATGCTTTCTCCGATACTCAAACCGCTCAATACTTGGGGTCATGGAATCTGACGCTTCGTTCATATTGTGGAACAAGTATGATACAACAGATCAGGACAAGTACAATGAAGTGGTTAGTGAGTTGTTGGACGGACTGAGAAGCAAAGCTAAGAATGGAGATTCACTTCGTAAATATGCAGAAGCAAATCAAACGGGTCCAAACTTTTACACCATATACGGTGCAGTTCAGTGCACTCCTGATTTGTCTCAGCAAGATTGCTCCGACTGCTTGAAGACGGCTATCTCTGAACTTCCCGATTGTTGTTTCACAAAGAGAGGTGGCAGGGTTATCAAACCCAGCTGCAACGTCAGGTATGAGAACTACCGTTTCTTTGGTCCTGTGGCTGAGCATTCACAGCCGCCGCCGCCGCCGCCTCCTCTTTCCCCTCCGAGGACACCCACCTCAAAAGGTATCCATATAAACTCGTTGGCCTGAAAAAATTTTGGCCGGGAAAACTTACCTCCAAGCTATTATCTTTGGTAGAAAATTCCAGTTGAAGTCTTATTTCGGTGGTTTTTCCTCTATTTTAGTGAAGGAATGCCTCAGTGAGCATATGTATGTTTGGCTATTTCAGGGCATAGCAGAAAATCAATCAAGACTATCATTGCCATAGTTTTGCCAACTGCTGCAACCATCTTACTGCTCATCTCTGTCTTCAGTATTATTTGTTTGAGAATGAGGAAAACCAGAGACGCAATTCAGAGTAAGTCAAATTAAAGATCTCCTTGGCAGCTCAGGTAATATGCACTTTCAAAAGAAAATACTTATTTTGAAAGCTAATATGTTTGAATTCCTTCGCAGAGGGAGCAGAACTTGATGATGAAACTGAATTTATTGAGTCATTACAGTTAGATTTTGAAACCATCAGAAGTGCAACAGATAACTTCTCTGATGCAAATAAACTTGGACAAGGTGGATTTGGACCAGTTTATAAGGTAGAACAATAACAATGTCAGGATGAATAGATGAAACTCACTGCTTTGTGGAAAATGATTCATGCTAAAATGTAGTTTCCAACTTTTGATAACTGCAGGGTAAGCTCCATAATGGAGAAGAAGTTGCTGTCAAAAGGTTATCAAAGAATTCTGGGCAAGGAGACATAGAATTTAAGAATGAAGTAAAGTTGATGGCTAAGCTTCAGCATCGCAATTTAGCTAGACTCCGTGGCTTCTGTTTGGAAAGAGAAGAAAGACTTCTCATCTATGAGTTCCTTCCGAATAAAAGTCTTGACTACTTATTATTTGGTAAGTTACAAGTGCTTTCATATCGAGAAAAAACTTACATGTTCTTTAGCTTAATTAGTTTCTATATTATCTCTCTCAATTTTAAGTTAAACTGAATGATCGATGAAAGATTACATCCATTATCTTAGTTCTTTGGGTTTCAGGTATAAAGACCAATACACACACCCATGCACACACGCATGTATATTTATCGTTATCATGAAGTTTAATATTAATTATAAGGACAAGAGGCGATGAAGATACGAACACGTAATCACTCAGATTTTAAGGACAAGAGAGCATGTTAGTTTTCATTTCACAGAGAATTTTTTCCACATCAAGTCCTGAGATCATATCAATATGAAATTGTAGATCCAAATCATCGTGCTCAACTGAATTGGGAGATGCGTCACAAAATTATCATGGGCGTAGCTCGTGGCCTTCATTATCTCCATCAAGATTCCCAACTACGAATTATTCATCGTGATCTCAAAGCAAGTAATATTCTTTTAGATGCAGAGTTGAATCCCAAGATATCTGATTTTGGCATGGCAAGATTATTTGCTATGGATCAATCTCAAAGTAACACTAGTAGAATTGTTGGAACTTAGTAAGTATAACATGTCTCAACAACACATCAAAATAAAACAAACTTTGAGAAGCATGCAACAACAATATTTTTTAATTAAACTTTTTCATGTTGACATATACAGTGGATATATGGCTCCAGAGTATGCAATGCGTGGGCAATTCTCAATCAAATCAGATGTCTTTAGTTTCGGTGTGCTAATCCTAGAGATTATATGTGGGAAGAAAAACAACAGCATCTTTCATGAAGAGAATATACTGAATCTACTGAGCTTTGTAAGTCTTTGGCCTTATTGAAGCACAGACAATGTGACTCATGCACATAAACACACATCATGAAACAGCAAAATTGTATACTAAAGTTAACTACTGTTGACGAGGAAATTCTTGTAGGTATGGAAAAACTGGAGAGAAGGGACAACCTCAAATATAGTAGATCCTGTATTAAACAATGCGTCAAGCAATGAAATAAAGAGATGCATCCATATTGGGTTGCTATGCGTTCAGGAAAATGTAGCTGATAGGCCAACCATGGCTTCAGTTGCTCTAATGCTTGATAGCCACTCTATAACTCTCTCAGTACCATCCGAACCTCCATTTTTAATGTATAACAGAAGCTTACCAGAAACGAATTCTGGGGAGAATAATTCATCAGGCGCCACAAGATCAGCTGAAGGAGGAAGAGACTATGTTGAAGCCTCAACAAATGAAGTCACAATAACTGAGCTTCATCCTCGCTAAATTTTACCTTGCAGGTGAAATTCAAAGATCAGTTTTAATGTGCCGATTACACTACTGGAAATGAAAGCTTGTAATTCAGCTAGAAATAAACAGGCCGTACATTGATGCAGAAATTTTACTTTTCAAAAACAAAATTATTAATGGACTTTTCCCCATTTTTTCCCATTTAAGATCTTTTGTAATTGTATATTTGTAAGAAACATTGAGTGTTTTCAGCGGTTTGGCTCACATAATTTGATCTCTAGGCCCTGTAACCAAATGAGGTCATGTATTACCCAGTTCTCTCTGAGTGAAAGATAGATTGGGTTTGGGTTTGTCCAACTTGATTTAATCTTTTGGTTTTTTTTTTTTTGGTGACAAGTGAAACTTGATTTAGTCTGAACGGGTCTGAGTTAACTCACTTAATTTCCACAGCTGGGTGTGGAGGTAGTGTTGTCAATGAATGAACACATTTTTATATGTTCCTTTTAAAATGTTTCTCTATATATACTCAATTTCCTTGAACTTGCAGTAGATTTAATTATGAGTGATTTCAACAGTTACGTTTCCTGCTTTGTAACGAACTTCTTAAATATCCAGATGAAAAATTAGTCCTGTCATCAATAAAAGATTAGGTTTTTGTTTATATCAACTTCTATAAATCAAGTTTTGTTTTATTAATTAAAACATATGCTATGAGCCATCTGAGGGTAGCTCAGGGGGCAAGGGTGGGGCGGCTGTTAAGCGGGGTCAAGGATTCAAACCTTTTTAATGTGTAAAAGAAATTCATCCATTGCGAGTATAAGCCCAATTTTGAGACTCCCACTGACACAGTCCGGCTTATATCTGGTCTTTTGAGGACAGATAATAATTAATCATGTGAACACAGGCTTAGTTGCATAGACTGTAAATTCTTGTGTAGCAGCTCATGCCTTTAGAATAAAAAAAGAGACCAAGACTTTAGTCGTTGAAACCAGACGTGAGAAAAACTTCAAAGACTTAATTAATTGCGTTTGGACCACCTTAGTTAACAGGGACCAGATACGCATAGCGTGGTCACACCAATTTTCAATTATGTGTCAGTATTACAAGGTTATAATTTTTTTGTAAGCATAACTATCCTATTATGCAAGAAAATCTTATTGAAGGTATTATTGGATATTAAACATATCACATTTTTCAGTGGGAATTCCAACCTTAAGACTAGTTACTCCTATTAGACCAACAAACGTTATTATCATGTCTTGAAGTTCATTCTTCAATCCGTATGATTCGCAATGTCGGTAATAATTTCTTTGCTTCTGCTTTCATTCCTTTCTCGTCTTCTCATTCTCACCGCCCATATCACTTCAACTCTTGTTTCCCACAGAAAATCACTATACAAATTCAAGCACCTACCAAACCAACCTCAATATCTTTAAGCTCTCACTTCCAACACAGAAATTGACTATGGCTTCTACAATTTGTGTCTTGGCCAAAATCCTGATAGAGTCAGCACCATTGGGTTATGTAGAGGAGATGTTGAACCAATCAAATGCCTTACTTGCCTCAAGAATGCCTCAGTTGTTGGCCTAAATAATTGTCCAAGTCAGAAGGAGGCAATGGGAGGCTGTGATAAATGCTTTCTACGATACTCAAACAGATCAATAATGGGGATCCTGGACGAACCTGAGTTTTGGCTCCGTTAATGGAGTGGTGGGAATAACGCAACAGATCCTGTAAAGTACAACCAAGCGGTCAAGGAGTTCTTGGAAAAGCTAAGAGTTAAAGCTGTGACTGGAGATTCACTTCGCAAGCATGCTGCAGCAAATAAATTGGCCCAAAATCTCAAACTATATATATATATATATATGGTGCGCTTCAGTGCAATGTGAGTACGAGACAAAGTTCACCACTTTGGAGATGCTAAGGTAGCTTCCAACTTTGATAAATACAGGGTGAGCTCTGTAATGGAGAAGAAGTGGCAGTTAAAAGGTTATCCAAGAATTCTGGGCAGCGAGATCGAGAGTTTAAGAATGAAGAAATGTTGGTTGCCAAGATTCAGCATCGCAAGCTAGTTAGACTCCTTGCCTTCTGTTTCTTCCCAGTAAAGGTCTTGGGAAGAAGATATATATAGATGCTTCTATTTTTCCAGTGAAAAAATTCTAAATGTTTTAGCTTTATTAATAATTTGTATTCTGTCTCTCTCATTTAAGTTTAATTGAATAAATTATAAAGGACTATACCAGTTTTATCAGTTCTTCAGGTTTTAGGTGTAAACAAATATATGTAGTTATTCTGCACAATTTATTTTATTATAAAATAAATATTTGCTATATGGAATTCTAAGATCACATCTGTGGGGTTGTAGATGCAAATCGGAATGCTCACCTAAATTGGGAGATACATCACAGAATCATCATAGGTGTAGCCGATGGTCGTCTTTATCTTCATGAGGATTTTTGACTTTGAATCATTCATCATAATCTCAAAATAAGTAATATTATCAGATTTTGGTATGACAGTTTGCCGTGGATCAAACTTAAAGTGTGACAAGCAGAATTGTTAGAACCTAATAAGTATCGTTGATTAGCCTTGTCGTTATGGGCTCTCAAAAATACTAGAATTAAGCTTAGAAGTGCAGTGGCTCAACCCTAAGTCAATTCACAAGGAGGTCAATTGCTCATGAACTTAGTTTAGTTAAATGCCAATCACAAATTAATTGTAAAAACTGAGATTGATTTTTATCTGATTGAATTACTCTAATTATCTAATATTTATTTGATTTTCTGATTTATGAAGATGTAGATGGGAGGGACGTAAGTATGATCAGAAATGCAGTGATGAAATCTTCCTAAGAAATATAATCTGACCTTCATAGCCTTTAATGAAATAACGGAGATGATTGCATTTCAGAAAGTATTATGTACCAGCGTTTAATCGGACAAACTGAAAACTCCAAAGATAGAATCAACCGATTACTACCGTGAATCATTCGATTAAATTGCAAACCAAAATCAGACCTGACTTTAGAATCCAATTAAATCTACTCGAGTTAAGGAGTACACCGTCAAGTTCAACACAATCAAATCTGGATACAAAATAATCTTCAGAAACGTAATCTCTAATCTAGCCTAAAACTTGGTCAAAATATGCAACACCTCACTTTTATATATATACTAATAGGATTATTTTAACGTCTGTGAATCACTAACGTCAGGTTTCCGTCCTGGGAAAAGACAGAGAAATTTTTTTTCCCCTTTAACATTGGAATCCGTTGATCAAATATTTCAAACCTTCAGATAACTTATGAGTGATCCAATATCAACCCTACTTTCAACTTAATCTATTATCACCTAAAATGATTTCATTTTGTGCAATCTCTATTATGTTGAAAATATAGTAACCATCTTGGTTAATAGTACATGCTTGCACCCGGCAATGCTCTCCTCATTATGCTGGATACAAAATAATATTTACATAAAGCAAGTAAAGTTACTTGCCCAAATATTTTGCTATACAATTTACAGAATTATAACAGGTATCTCTACTCTTCAATCAGCTTACCTTCTTCTTAACATCCTCCTTATCTTTCGAGTTACTAGCCTTCGCTGGTCATCATGAATGGGAAGGTGAGATTCTAAAGAATTCCCGTAGTAGTAATTTCCATCAAACAAATGTGCAGATCACATAAAGCATGCAAAACAAGCCATATGGAACATAACCTTGCAAGCTAATGCAATTAAGCATTTATGCGCAATGACAGATAGACAAGCTGAATAAATAATGCGCAAATAATTGGCAATCACTGCCCCATGTCTATCAGCTACACGTGATCACGGCTAAATAATCCATGCAAGGAATTAAGGATTACATGTTCTCATGCTTTTTGAATAGCAATATGGCACAAACAGACATGCAGCAATCATACACAAGTGTAAGGTAGGAAAGAACTATTACCTGAACATTCTGCTTCAAAATCAAACCTTACTTGTTTCCTTTCTCTTAGCTTCTTCGGTAGGCTTTTGCAGATATCAAAACCTATTACCAACTAAAATTCATAAATTAGAAATCTCTCTTTAAATCCCAATCCTTTTTCAATCTCTATTAGCCTTTAATTACTCTTATCCCCTTGCCTTACAAGCTTACTAATCGAAAGTGTGTACACATACACAAATATATACTTTATAGCACTTCCCATGCCAAACACCTAACACTTATGCACCTATGCTAGAGTATAAATTATTATTTGTACTTCTAACTTGCTTCTAAAAATTGGCTTGGCTTAATTAACTTCATACTGTAATTTCCAAATCCATACAATTCTTATCTATTATATTTTAAGGACAAAGTCATGTCTCACATGCATTTGCTTTCAAGTCCACTAACTTGAGTTTCAGTCAAGTAAAAAGTCCAAATGACTTTGACTTACACGTACTCATTTATAAATACACATTCAATCTCCCTTGTTAGAAATTTAGTCAAATAACTCAATCATTTGAATCCCCACTAAACCATTCATAATTCATTTAAACACTTGACTACCTTCCAACATTAACCGTTAGCCTCAATTATTTGGATTCAAATCAAGAAGCTCAACCTCTTTCTTAACAAGCTTGATTTTCCTTAAGCAAATTCCTAGCTTAACTTTATTTAACTTGACAGCACACGTGTATACATATTTAAGAGAGCTCACAAATCCTCTGAATCCTTTCAACAATAATAACTTGATTCTATAAACATTCTTTAGTCAATTACAATTCCTCTTCACCATTTGCAAACCCTAAGAACACAAATTTCCTTCTTGTTTCTTGAGTAACTTTAGGATATCCAAAACCAATATTTAATCTTCTAGCTATCAAGCATCAGCTAAGTCTCTATTAAACATTTCTTACTTCATTTGATAATTCTCTAACTTCCTAATTTATAATTTCACTCTTTATTAACTTCTAAGAATCTCGATTGACTTAAACCCAATATCCCTCTAACTCAGCAACTTTTACATTAAACCACTCTCATTTGCACAGGGACCCAAAATCATACACCCAGAAGTAATAAACCCCCGTACCGGAAGTCACTAACAAACATATATATATATATATATATATATATGTAAGTATAGCTTTCTAACTCATTTTCCTATCTCTCTTCATGGCAATGACAACACGCACCTACTCTCAATGCCCACGGTCAACATTCACAACAATTGAATTCATATATATTTATTTGCACACCCACACCCCTCTTCTAAAACCTCATTCCAAGCAGCGTGGCATCCGTGTGTGTGTGTGTATATATTTATATCTATATGTACAGCTCGGTTACTCTGGTATTTAAGAGTTTCATATCTCTCCATTATCCCAAAACTAAACCAGCGGCTTCAAGAAGATAACAGCCCCTGTCTCGGTACCTACAAACCAGAGCAACAGCACATGCAATCTAGAAAATTTATACAGTTGTGTTCACTACTTTACTGTCAGAACACGACACCCAACACTTCAAAACTTAACCCCTGTTTTCGGTTGACATAAACAGAGCAAGGAACCTGTACGCAAGCTTGAAAACCAACATCAAACACTTCAATCTACCCATAGAATCCGAATCCATCGGTCCTCTTATCCTTTCCATCACTTTCTCTCACTACCCTTCTGTCTCTCTCTCCTCAAACACGCCATAACCACTCGGATAACAGGAAAGAAAATGGTGGGAGGTTGATCAGGATGCTCACCTGGAATGTTTGATCGGTTTGCATGCACTGGATACCACCTCCGATCACCAGATTCAACTCAGCCTCCTCTCCGTCGCCGACTTCTTCCTCTCGTGCTTCCTCTCTCTCTCGCTCGCGCTCTCTATCTCTCTTTTCTCTGGTCACCGAATGAAATGAGCTAGACGCGTGGTAACCAGCTGTTACATGGAGGAGTGAATTTAGACGCGTGGAAGACCAGCTGTGCAACGGAGAAACGATTCAGACGTCTTGAGGAGGAGGCAGCACGTATACTACATGATTGCTGAGTCATTTTGCCCTCCTAAATAATTATTCTTCCAATCCTATCCCTTCTCCTATTTTTCTGAAATATAAGATATATCCAGAAATTAAACCAAAATATCATAAATGGATTTTCTTATCCATTAGCTTCTTTGACCCATAAATAATTTTCCTAAGAATTTCAGATCAAAAGTCCACTCTTGACTATTTTTCTGAAATTTTCCAAAATATTTCTAAACCTTGAAAAAATCAATATTCCATAATTTTCTCCAATTGTGATTGAGCTATTAAATAATTTTAATGAATTTTCCCTTTTCTACTCATCCTGAGTCAGAAAATTCGGGATGTTACAAAATACAACCAGATATTCGGCCATGGATCAAAAGCATAGAAAGACTCCCCTGTTGGCGCAATGACTCTGGTCCGATCATATCTCTCAGGAAGGTTGAATGATTAGCTACTCATGGATGGAAGAGAAACTACACCGAGACGCTCCCAAATCGCCATGGCAGTAGCGAAGGAAGAAGATGAAGTGATGGTGGAGATGCGAGAGTGACGGTGATTGCGAGGTTTAGAGGTGGAGACGTGAGAGGATGGGAGAATAGTGACGGTGTGGGTGGAGGAAGGTGACGGAGCCAGTGAAAAAAAATGACGGAATGGTCGAGTGAATCTGATTGAAGTGAGTCTCCCCTCCTTAAGTGTCGTCCTCCCCGTTCGAAGCTTCTCCCTCAATGAATTGAACTAAACCCCAAATCTGAATCTCCTTATCAAAACGCACCGCGTCTACTGATCCTCTTTGGTCATGTTGCAAATTCCATTATGCCATTACTTTAGTCCTTGGATATTAATTTCTGAAATCTTCAATAAATCTGTAATAATTCCCATAAAATGATGTAATACCAAATATCAAAAAATAGATAGTAATTAGTGCAATTTAACTCATAAAAGATAATAAAACCCCCAAATAATCACATATAAAACATAGTAAAATATGGGTTTATCAATCGTACACCACAACAACTTATGAAAATAAGAGAGAAACTTGAATATTGCTATAGTATGGATATCAATATATATATTTTCAACTAATATTGCTTGTATTAATATAAAATGGATATATAGCTCCAAAATATGTAATGAATGAACAATTCTCAAACAAATAAGATGTTTTTAGTTTCAGGATGCTAATTCTACAGATTGTAAGTGGGAAAAAAAAAAAACAAGAGTATGTATCTTTAATGGAGATATCCTCGGCACACTAGACTTTGTAACTTGTAAGTCTTTGCTCTTTCGAAATTTATGAATATTACATATTGCTTACTAAAATTAACGTATTTATGAGGACATTCTTGTAGGCAGCATGGCAAAACTGGAGGAAAGGGATCGGATGAGCCCAAATATAATAGATCCTGTGTTAGTCAATGGTTCAAGAAATGAAATAACGAGATGCATTAACGTTGGGTTGCTATGTGTTCAGGAAAATGTAGCTGATGGGCCAACTATGACTTCAGTTGCAGTAATATGCTGAGCAGCCACTCTGTGTCTCTCCCAGTCCCATCAAAACCTCCATTTTTAATGAATAGCAGCAGTTCAACTAATTGAGAAGTTTTTGAAGGATTCTAGTTCACCAGGGGCTAAAAGATCAACTGGTGGAGGAAAAAACGCTGTTCGATCGTCAAAAAATGAGGTCCCCATCAATCGTCTAAGATTCTGCTTTCGTAGCTAGCAACTCCTTAAAACAACACATTAACTTAGAACGGTCATAATTCTCTGTTCTTCTTTTTCCATAACATCAACCTCTTACAACTGCAAAAGCATTAGGTGTTTCTTATTCTCAACTTCTTGCAATATCATATGCGGTCTCTGATCCTTCATACATACATAATTCTAAGTCCACATATCTATACAAAGCTCATAATTCCACGTACATAACTTAGGAAGTGTTTGGATGAAAACTAAACTATAGTTTCAAAAATATTTTTATGGTTCATGAAGTAAATATGTAGAAGAGTTTGACTTATTTTGCAAAAAAGTGCTTTTTAAAAGCACTTGCCAAACACCCCCTTAAACACACATATATTCCACACATCACGCGTAACTCTAAGGCTCTTAAAACGAACTCTAAAAGCCTTTAATTAATTAAAAATTACTAACTATCATAGAAGGCGTAATGTTCATATCTAAGAAAGCAGCTCAGTTTGATAATCCTTCCACCAGTCTTGTTCTCCGAACAATCTGGGATTTCCGACACAGCTTTCGACAAGCAGTCTGTGCAATCTTGTCTGGACAAATATGGCGTGCACTGAACAAGACCATAAATAGTTGAAAGTCGAGTTCTCATGTTTCCCGCAGCGTACTTACGCTGAGACTCAACAGCTGAAGTAGTGTTTCCTAGACTTTTCAAAAAACCATCAAGCGGACCGTGGTACATGTCTGGATCCGGGTCATTATTTGGGTTCGCCATGCAGAAGGAGAACTCAGGATTCTCGTATATCCCAACCATTGAACGACTTGAATATCGTAAAATGCAAAGTTCATCGTACAAAACTGCCTTCCTCTGGTTTAGACATAGATTTGGGAGAAGCTTCGCGGCATTGTTGAGGCAACTCTGGCAAGAATCTGGATTCACATCTCCTCTGCAGTACCCAAGTGCATGAACCGTGTAGGGATCTTTGCCCTGAGAAGCATTGTAGAAACTAAAGTCATCGACGTCGTCTGTGGCCGAAGTGAGATTAGAAAGAAGGACATTGAGGTTCGTGCGGTAGGGAGATGTCTTTGAGTAGTAACCATTGTCAGTGAAACATTCGTGAATTTCAGCGGTGAGAATGACAAGATGACAGAGGAATGAAACAAGAGCCAAAGAAATGACGACAGACGAAGAAGTTGTCATCATCATTGGGCTGATCGAAGTGTGAGGCAGAATATATATTCTGAAACGGATTTATATAGTACACATGTAGCAATACAATGGTCAAGTGGCAGGCTCATTAATTGCTCATAATTCTAGCTAGCTTGCATATTCGATTTCGTTGATTTGTCGTAGCTTCCCGTGATATATAGACCAACATTAGTGTCCATCATTGAAATGGGATTATGAATGGCCACCACGCCTGCCTGGTATTGGGTCGTTTTTCGTCATTCGTAATGCAGAAACGCTCAAGTGTGGGCTCAAAGAGAGGTTTTGGCCCCTCAATATCAAATGCGCACTCAGATATATATATATATATATATATATATATATATATATATCTGAGCGCGCATTTGATCGTAGTGGGAATCATAATTATCTATATATAATCCTCTTGATGATTGCGTTTGAATTCGATTTGGAGGATGATTTTCACTCAAATTCTGAAAATTTGGATCTTTAGGCATATCAACCATTGAAAGTTAATCCAATAATAAAAAGATTAAATAGAAAGTAAAGTCAGTGAAAACATTCTTCTTCCCATCAAACTCATATTGTTAATATAATATTACATATTTCTCTAGTATTAAATGATTTTAATGCATTATTAGTCTGCAAAGTCATACTCTTATAGAAAAATTTACCTTGTCTTAATGCTGATGATTGCCTGTGACATTTTTTAAAAAAAAATTTATGGTCCAATTTCCACAACATGATGGAAGATGATTTTCTCATTGATTTGATGATCGTTTTATCGCTAAAAATTAATTTCACAAATATCCCTAATATGCGCTTGAGCGGGGGGAATCATAATTTCTTATATACAATGAATCTTCTTGATGATTATATTGAAATCGATTTGGAGGCTTCGTGGCATTAATCTGTACGTGCGCTTCAGTCCCCAAAAAAAAAAAAAAAACTGTACGTGCGCGTTCCACATCATCCTCGCTTACAAGCTGTTTTGTTTGCCATATTATTTTCACAAGCTTGACTAATTAAATAAAAATAGTAATAATTTAATGATAATACTCCCTCCGCTGATCCTTATTATAAATTTCAAATAACTAATTTGCAGATAAGGAACTGTTAAAAGTAATAAGTAAGTTAAAAATATACTTTTATTTTTAAATATGCCTTTAGAATAAATGAGAAAATTGATAAAAGAGAGGGTATGAGAAAATGTGATAAAAGAAAGCATAGAGTCATAAAGAGAGAAAATAAATAATTAAAGACAAAATAAGAAAAACACATTAAATGTTAAGACAAACATAAATTAAAATTTATAAAATAAACCACACTCTTCTTCAAATTCAAAACTTATATAAATAGAATAAAAAAGAATAATAACTAACGTACTTCTCGATTAGTGGGGTGGATTGAGCCAATGGGGACAAAGGGGCTATAGTCCCCAGAATTTTAATTCTTTTTCTTAGTATATAATGGTATTATTTGAATCTAACATACCACTTTGATTCTTATTATTTATCACTTGTATCTTTTTTAATGTTTCATTTTCAACTTTGCCCATATTGATTAATTATAAAGTGATGAAGAGAGAGGAAATGTGTGAGAGAAAATATACTACCTGTTTAATAAGAAAAAAAGTGAAAGATTTTATTTATTTAATGCTCTCCTTAGTATGTAAGAAACTCCTACAAATAACAAATTAAAAGGATCAGAGTGGTATATAAATGAAGTTAGAAGTAGAATCCAAATTAATCCAAGGACTATAGTCAACAAATAACAATTATGACATCAAGACTTTTATTGAGAAGAAAGAGCCAGTGGCTATTATTATCTTTATTTCAAACAAATATATAGAAACCAAATTATCACTAAACTGTGACAAAGGCACCAACAAGAACAGCCGTAGCAATGACAATTCTTGATGTTCTGTTGCTATTTCCGGGAGAAAAAAAAATTGGCAATGTTTAGTTTTCCAATTTTAATGTAAAAAACGTGCCAAGCCATATTATTTGGGTTGGAATTCGTACCTTCTAAGGAAGATGACGCTTTTGGTGAGTCAGCATGGGCAACTCCTAAATACGACATCAAAAATTTATTTATTATTGATAATATAATATTCATGACTAATAATTAATCAGCAATGTCATAGACATTATTAATTATAAAACTATACGTTGAGTTCTTAAGTTTTCATATCATCCCTTTAAGCTTCCTGAAAATGCCGGGCACGCTCGGAGTTTTGAAGAACATATTATTAGACACAAGTATATTAGACTTGGGCCAGGCCCACTATCATGAAATTATTGTATTCTGAATTCTAAAAATCTCATTTGAAATTTAAACCTCAAAATCAAACCATCAAAAATTCAATAGTGTCTCAAATATTTATATATATAAATGATCTAATCAAAATTTTAATAGCATGTATATATTTCCATAAATAATAAACTTTAACTACATAATTATTTTAAAACCTATAGTCACCCAATAAATAAAACTAAACCGATTACAATTTCAATAATATGTCAAACAACCTAAATAAATTATTTAACTTAATTTTAATCCGTATAAATATGATATATCTCATAAATAACGTATTTTTTAATTAAAAATTAATTTTTAAATACTAAAATCAACAAATGGACAAATATAAACCGGTAAAAATGATCTACTATAATAGATCTACAATACTGTGGTTAACACTCATCAAAACTAAATACTTGCTCGAAACTCTATACCAAAATTTTTCTCTAAGCAACGCAAAATTACTATTGTTAGATAGATCTGATTGAGTAGAACAATTTTCATGAAGGAAGTTTTGTAATTAGAAGTAGTTTTACTTACCAAAATGATCTATAGCGATGGAGAAAGAAACAGGAGGGAGAGAGCGACGCTGCAAGCCATAACCCAGAGAGAGAGAAGGAGAAGAGAAGAACAAACGGGGGGAGAAGGTAAAAAAAAAACACTCAGGGTAAACTGAAGTTAAAGACCTTAGGTAAAACGTAAAAAATAATAGTTTGAACCCTTTTTTTTTCCTTCAATTTTTTAAATACTCAAATCTTTAGAGTAGAATTTAAGATGTTACATAAAATACTCTCAGGATCCCTCTTTCTAGCTCTCATATTAAGGATAATGATTAGTCTCAAATTATTTTTCACACGTGAAAATAATATACGAATAAAACGTAAAATTAAAAACTAAATAATGTGAAATAAGACGGAAATCAGAAAAAGGATACTCTCTCTATCCTTTTTTATAAGCAATCTTGAACTAAATCATGTTGATCAAAAAGTTAGTTAATATTAGTTAAAGACAATAAATATGTACAAATTAATTTTTTTCAAAATAATCTTATTTATAGAAGAGAGAGTATAAGAAAGAAAATAAAAAAGTCGTTATAATAAAGAGAATTATGAAAAAGAGAGAATGTTAATGGAGAGAGATTATATTAAAATATAATTTTCAGAACATTTATTATCTAGAAAATAAATTTCTTAGAAAACAAAAAAAATTAACTATTAAAATAAGTCTTTTAAAAAAATAGAAAAGTTATTATAAAAATTTTAAAAAGCTTGTAAATACTATTGTTTATATTTAGGAGATGATTGTTACTGCTCTGAATCTATTAGGAGTTTGGAAATACCTAAAAGAATTTTTGAAAAGTACCTTTTCGTAAATCAAGATAAATTTTTTTATATATTTATTTTGTAGACCGTAAAATTACTTTTAAAATTATAATTTGGTTACCCTCCGAATACTCTTTTAACAGATGTGAGAGAAGTTATTTTTTGTAATAGTTTTCCTTTTTAACGGGATGTTTGGGATTGAAAAAGCAAGCAAAGCAAAAGAACGAAAAGGCAGAGTAGAGGAGAGGAGGTAGGGGCTGAGAACTGAAAAGTGAATAGAGGGGAAAAAGCCCCGAAGGTAAAAAAGAAATGATCGAACAAGATCGAGGGCACGCCTTTTTTTCTGTTTCTGTTCTTCTCCTGGAGTTCGCGCTTGAAGCCGAAAGAGGAGACGAAGCCGACGGACAGGGGAGTGAACGCGAAGCTTTCATTTGATTCTATCGTTGCTCGCCGCTCTCAATCTCATCTCCGCCACAACGCCGCTGACAATCGCCTCTTCTCCAGTCCTCCGTTTTGATTCGATCAAGGTACTTTCTATGCTTGTGTCATCTTTGCTCCAACTATCGTCTTGAGCTTGGATTTCACCAGCTATGGCTTTTTCCTCCCTCACTATTTTTTTTTCCTGTTGCTGTATTCTGATGTTTATGTCGGTTTTTATTAGCTTAAAGATGAGAGGTTGATTCTTTGTAAATACTTTCTTTTGGGTATATTTCTTATGTTTGATTATTTAATCAGAGCATTTTATCTTAGATTTTTCAATTGGTTAGACTTGAGATAGATTATGGGTTAGATCTTAGCTTTGTCAGGAATTGGATCTTATGCCACATTTAGTGATATTGGAATTGGGGTAAATTAATGCATTAATTAATTGATTGCGTGTGAATACGACATTATAAGTTAGTTAATTCGTAGGCAGTGGACCTTCCCTCCCCCACCCCCCAAAGTACAGGCACGAGGCACTAATGTAGACACAGAGCACTCAAACCTTGCTTTTTGTAAACCTTCTGTTAGACCCAACTCTCATTGATTTAGTAGGCCCTAATTCTCTAGAATAACAGATGCATGGTATTAATAATAGAGAGTAGTAATTACTTACTCTTTATTAAGGGAAGTAATTGGCTTAAGTAGCCTTATCTGTCTACAAAATCAGCACTAACTTTAACTGGACGATCGGACAAGTCCTTATGAGAATTGAGCAGGTTATTCTCCTCATTTTTCATTATCAGAAGAAGTAGAAATTAAAAGAGATGAGGGTTGAAAAATTAGTTACCTTTTATTCAATCAATCAACACATATAATCCGAACTAGTCCAAGTTAAGGCTCACTTAATTTCCAAACTTGCGTGTGGGTGGGAACCCATATATACTTGGGTAGAGGTAGTGTTGTCAA